AGTTTATATTGCAATGAAGCCGCAGCCTTTGAGACGGAATTAGGCTGCACCTTCTTTGAAGGGCTGAGGTTTGTAATTATCTGGCTGCAGCAGCATCCTGATGAATAAACGTGGTGTGTGTCCTGGTGCACGTTCGTATTGCCGTTCTTCTGAGGTGAAGCCAAAATAATCCCTAGCGTAGAAATAAAGATCTTTGCTGGAGCCAGACAGTAAAATGTAAAGAAAAAAGGAAGAAAAATTATGTTGGTGGAGCACAAGGGATTTGGGGACTTCTGGCTGCTGCTTCGTGAGGCTCTTCAGCGGCAGGCTCGATGCCCCCCATTCCCGCTGCCTTGGTCGGTCTTTGCTGCTTGGTCACAAGCCACCTTGTCGTCTGTACTGGCACAACTGGTTGTGTGGCTGCTTCGTGAAGTGAACTGGGGCTTTGTGCTGCTTTTTAAAAAATTTGGAAAAAATCCTAAGCAATGGTTTAACTTGGTAAAGGGGGGGAACGGAAAGCAGGGTGCCAGGAATCAGAGGTGTAGAAGATGCTTTCGTGTGTATTGCTGCGTGAGGCTCCTTCTCCCAAAGTGACATCCTCGGAGAGCCGGCACGGGATGCTGCTTCCCGGGGATTTTTTCCCTGGGGCCATTTTGCAGAGGGAGGGAATTCTCTAAACAAAATCCTGGAGACCCGAGAGCTCTTCATGCCACCCGGAAGGCAGCCTGTCCGAATGGGGGCACGAATATGGTGCCACAACTCGCTCTCACGACTGGAGAGAGCCCAGCCCCCGGCTGTCAGGGTTGGTGACAAAGGACCTTTCTGAATGTCAGCCCTGAGCCACGTGGGCAGGAGCAGCGTGGGAGAGATTTGTCTTGCTGCAGCGTGTGCTGCTGCTGCTCCGAGAGCGGGGAGCCCGTCGCTAGGCTGTCATTCACCAGCACAGAATCCATTTATAAAAATCGCCAGAAATAACAAATTTGAGACTAAAATTAATTTTGTTTCCACTTTAAGTATTGTCGAATGTCACAGACTGGAAATTATTAATGTTTTAATGCCTGGTGATTATTGATGAGTAATGGTCCATCAGGAGCCAGTTTAAAGGCAAAGTAGGAAAAATAAAATCCCAAGATACGCCATGGCAAAAGTAATGTAATTCGAGAAAATGTGGAAATTATGCTCCAACGTAACAAATACCCCTGGTGCACGCCCTCAGAACTCAGCTAATCAGTCGCCTTCAGGATGGTAAATGGGAGGGCAGGCGAAGGACAGCAGCTGGTTCGGATCGTAATTTATTTTTTCTGCATGTGACTGTAGTAGCAAATATCGGCTACTCCGGTCTCTGTTGGTAGCTTTTGCTCTGCCAGGCTGGCGTGCCGTGAGCTGCGGCTGGAGGGGTCGGGGCTCGTGGCACTCGGGACCGGACCGAGAG